CAATGAAAATTTTATATTAATATCCATTTGGAATGTTAGGCTAGAGCCTAGATCCAGCAGATAATGCTTTTTGTTCTGCACACTATATTAAAAAAAAAAAAACTTAAACAGTGGCGAATACTTAAAAACTGGGGAGATTTGACACATGTAGCCCACATGTCAACTTTTTTTGAAAAAGATGGGAAGATCTAGCAACACTAGGCTCCCTTTTCCACCTAGCAACAATATGTTGGTTGATGGTACAGAGATTTGCAGCAGCAGCTCTGTAGAACAGGGCTCTGTAATTAACACTGGCCCCAGTTTCCCTCCCTTCTTTCTCCACCCCTGCAGGCATTTAGGCTGGCAGTAATTACTGTTTCTGTATACTTACTACTGAACACTGTGTGCAGCACACACTGGCAGAGATTTATTAGCCTGCAATGGAAATGCCACGAGTTACTCTCCAAAGTGCTGGTGTTCATTCCTGCAGCAGAAAGCACAGCCACCACAGCTAAGGCTTTTTTATAGAGTGGTTTTTTCAAGAGCTTAGGTCTGATTAACTCAAGGCATTTGCCAAAACTTGTTACTGAAATTACTGAAGGGTGTCTGCCTAATAAGGTGCCCTGAAAGGTAATGAATTTCTCAAATTTCAGGCTGATGAAACAAAAGGTAAAGAATGTAAGGAAGCAATCACTTCAAAACATTCTAAAGTATTAAAAAAAATAAGTAGACACTATTTAGTTCCATAAGTGACTAACAATACTGAATATAACTTATTATTCACTAGTTTCTTAAAACTTAGAATTGTGTTAAATAACAATGAAATGTAATTCCTTTAGGGATTGCTTGGGAGGCTTTTGGAGTTTTTTTCTTCATTAGCAACATTTTTTACCTTAAAACATCATAATAAAAAGTATGATCGAGGTGTGTGATACTTAAAATTTATGGGGTTTGATGGCTTCTCCTTTGGTATGTATAACTGTTATATTTAATGGACATCCTTGCATGTTAATATTACATTTTACAAATAAAATTCTTTCCAAATGATGACTTGAGCTCTGCCACTCAATGTGAGAATCAGTGTAACCCATAGGAGCTTATTTGGAATTCATATTCTCTATTCTAATTGTTTCTATTTTTAAATTTGTTTCACTGGAAAGGAAAAATGGTCAGTTTTAAATATTAAAAGTTTATAAGTTGCTTTGTTGCAATAAAACTAAATGTATGTACACATGTTATAGGGCTTTTATTCTGAAATATGCCTGGCTAAGTAGGACCTATATTGTTTCAAAAAATAGAGTACTTTATAGAATGTTCAGCATGATGCTCCTCTTGGCACTGACAATCATTAAAGATTTCAATTTAGCCCTGATCCCATTAAAGCAAGATGACTTTGAACAGAAAATTGAGCATTAACTATGGTTAAAGATTTTAAGCTAGAAAGCTAGGTCAGTTTGTGATTGCTTTAATTCACCCTTTTTTCTCCAAGGCAAGTGCTCTTAAAAGCATTCTGTTTAGTCTCCAAGAAGGACTTGGCATTTTCTGTTACATTTTCTATCACATTACAATTCCTACTATAATGTGAGTTTAATAAGACAATGTTCTTTTTTATGATTTTACTTCTCATTACAAAAGTAATGCATGCTCACTATATATGCACACAAAATACTGACTGCAGAGAAACATGCTTATGTAAAAGCAGTTTACAAAAGAGTATAAATGTATGTGTGGATATACACATATATAGCTTTATGAACATTATATATACTTATACACATACACACACTATGGATAAAAGGCTGAAAGGCTACAAAATTTAAAAAAAATTGTAGATAGTTTTGTATAACAAACTTATGAGCTTTTTATTTCTTATAGTTTTGCATTTTTCTGTATGTATATAATTTCTATACATAATCTTAGTTACAAGACTGTTATTTAAATTTCTTTATCTATTAGACTACTTTATTCAGGCAACCATCCAACACACACAAATATCAATTAAATACTAGACCCTATGCTGTTTTCAGGACATAGGACAAATGTGGGCTCTGCCCTCAGAAACTTTCTTTTTAAAGATTTTTTAAAAGATTTTTTTAAATTTTTATTTATTTATACAAGCACTGGGAACAGTCAGAACAGCAGGAAGCGCGGGAGGGTGAGAGAATCCACCAGAGCCAGAGCGGAGAGTAGAGCAGAGCAGGCAGACTGACGAAGTACACTGCTGAGGGGAGCAGTGGGTGGCAGGAGAGGTCTGCACATCAAGTGGGACCCTCGCCCAGAGGCCGGGGATTGAACCAGCGCTGCAGAGGCTGTGGGCAGCTTCGCAACCCAGCACTCAACTGCTGCACCACTGGGGAGGCCCTGCCCTCAGAAACTTTAAAGTTCAGTAGGAAAAAGTCACAAGTAATCCATATCTACAGAACAGTATGAGTACAGTACAGACGTATCTGAACAAGACAGGAAAAGCTTCTTAGAGGAATAAGAAACATTTGAACTAATAGGTACAGTAGAAAAGGCAGGGAGAAGCAATTGTAGTCAGGCATCTCCAGTAAAACTGTCTGTAATTCTGACACACATTTCTTAACAGTTAAATGTGGCTAGTTGTCCACAGGAGAATCACAACAGGAGCAAGAAATTCTAGAGATGTTAGAGAGAATAAGCTGAATGTGGTGTTTGAACAATGCAGGGAAATTATGCCCACATTCTGGCTTTGGAAATGGAATGGTTAGTAGTACTGGTTACTATAATGGAGAAAATAGAAGGCACGAGTTGTGGAGACAGTAGCAGGCATAAAGGTGGAAATAAAAATCCCAGTTCTGGGCATGGTAAGTCTTGAGTTTGTTTGATCCATGAATGATCCAAATACTAATGACTACTAGGTATGTATGTATTTGAGGCTCAATAGTAATTTCTAAGGACAGCAAGAATGACTGGCATATAAAAAATTGAATTACTAGATGTACACAATTGTACAGATGGTGAAAAAGAGTAAGAAACGTAATGGGTAACATTTAATGAGGAAGCAGAGGAAGGGAAAGCTGGGAAGGGATGAAAGAAGGAAAGAGCGTGTCAAAGAAATGATAAATAGTCATTCATGTCAAATACTGTGAACAACATATAAAGTAGGGGAAAAAGCAGATTGCAAAATAGATTCCGGCTTATCTGCATGATCAGGTGTTGCTAAAATTATCTTAGCATAATTATTTTCCAGTTAAAATTACAATTACCCAAAGAAAAAAATTTCCCTTTTTTTCTTCCTCTCTCTCTCTCTTACTAGCTTACACAAAATCACACAATGAATTCACCTTGAGTTAAATTATGCATGACTTGGCAAATTGTACATAATTCTTGCTATTTAATTCCATTCCCATCTTATTTTAAAAGCTGAATATGAAATCAGTTATTATAAAACACTTCAGAGATTAAAAGTCCATAAATACTTGGGGAAAGTATTCATTCTGAACAGAAATAATTGGTTATTTCTTTAGAAATAATTTCTTGGTTGTGAAAAAAAGAAATTATTTTTATATAGAACAGTATTTATACCTTAGGAATACAACCATATATCAAGCCTCAGGAAAGTGCTAAGAACTATTTCAGTAATTTTCTTAAGTTTCCCAGGGTAGGGTGTCAGTCTAATTTATCTAGAACTAAGCAGTGCCTGCCAGTAAGGAAGTACTCAGTAACTGTTTGCTCAAGTATGACCTACTTACTAAATTCTCAACCCACAATGTGCCCTGAAAGTTTCAGTGTTTTGTTTTCCTGGGCTATAAGGTCAGGAATTAACCTAAATTTTTAAAATATTGTGAGTTGAGAAATTTTGATTTTAGAATTCTGATTTTAACAGGGTTTTAGAAATCTAACATGACCTCTGTTGAAACATTTTAAAATAATAAAAGACATTTTCTTTTATCTCCCCATGGTCCTTAAAGTTTCAATGAGATATTGTGAGGGCTGCGGACTTTGGACTTTGGTAGAAGAGTATATTACATAAACACAAAACAAACTATGTTTAATGTCTGTGTTAATGTGGCTATGTGGCTAAGACAGGGAAAGTGTATGAAAGCAAATTCATTTGTTAAAATCCTATCAGTTATTTTTCACATTAAATTATAATAGATTAAAATGAGGCAATTAGCTTGATGAGAATTATTCTGGATACCAATCAGTCAGAAGGTATGCCCTTGTTTGGATTTTAACTTTGCTCTAGTTGTGCTTATGGAAAATCAGTGAATATTCATTCTTGGCAGGGGTGAGAGCCACAAGGTCTGTCCAGATAACATTCAATGACTAGTTAAGAAAGGAAAAATGTTAAATTTAGCAATTTTGAAAACTGATTGCAAGGCACTGTAAGACATTTTTATATTATCACATATGTAATAGGAAAACAATTTTTTTCCTCGAGAATATTTCTAATTTTCTTTATTATAAAAATGTCCTCAGTGAGTTACCCTTAAGACTTACATCACTAGCCAAGACTGCCACAGAGCCAATAAAATTTCTTCTTTGACAATTTAAGGATACAGATCTCTCTGAAGGAAGAGAGTTCCTTGAACTACCCAGTTGATTGCATGTCACACTTCTCATGCTGTTGAATCAGAGACTCCCTGCTGAGGTCAGCCTTCGATTCCCCCAGCATTCAGCAGCACTTGAAAAATCACAATCATGCCTTCTACTGCACTTAGAGGGTTCTGGATCTACTTCATGGTGTTCCTTTAGTTTCAAAGGAAGAACACTTCCAATTGTAAGCACTTGAGACTATCTAAATCATCCTTCATTTAAAATTCAACTGAGTAGAAAGTGATGATAGTGGTTCAGCAAACATTAAGTCCAATTTGCTATATTGAAAGCACCTTAAGTACTACTCAAAGTACTTAAATAATACTCAAATAATATCCTTCTAGAAAATGTACAATTAAGAGAAATCATTTATTCAAGAATAGAAGTATTTAAAAATTTTAAAAATCAAAACTTAATTAGAATCTCATTGACGTGCTGCTGCTATGTGAGACCACACTCACCTCTCCCGAGGAACAGCAAACCAGTACTCTGGTTGCTTTCTTCGCTTGCCATACTGCTGGACCATGGCTGCGGTGTGAGTGGCAAAGGATTTTCTCATGGGTTTTCCCACTTTAATGCACAGAAACATGGGTGGAGTCTTGCTTTTCTCTTCTTTTGAAGGAAGTATATCTGAATCACACATGAAATAAAATCTTCCTCAATATTGACAATAGTGGTGATAGTAAAACCTTTCAGCTTACCAAGAAAAGTGTTCCATCCCTGCTTAGCAATGAGAAGTCAAACCATCACAGAAACATTGAACAGATCATCATGTCTGGACTAATAAAAATTTTCAGATTTTTAGTACATAAGGGAAAAGTTTTGGACGTTTCAGGTTGGTCTACATCACTTGTGATGAAGCATAGGGAAGCAAGCAGAACAAAAAAACAAGCAAACAAAGATAAATCAAATACAGTTGCAAATAGTGAACCACTGTACAATTCCTAAGAACACATTAATGAATGATATCGAGGATGCAGTGACACCATAACAATTCAGTTTAGAATTGAAATACCCTCAAAAATATTTTAGACTTAGAAATTCAAGATAAAAAAGACACCTACAAAAATTTTATTTTTAAATTTTAGTTGTTTAAATATCCTTATTTTTTTCACAATACAGAATTTCTCCCCTCAAGTGCAGTCAGCATAATTTCTCACCGCCAAAGTACCCACAGTTTTCCACCACACACCATTGTTTGAAAAAAATGTTTCAAAGGACTTTTGAAATAGAAATATATGTTATAGTTCAAATTCCAAAACAGTTAATATTAATGTATCTGTAAATATATGCCCTATTAAGAAGATATGCTCAAAAATTTATACTACTTTTGCTGTTGCATGTGCAAGTTTTAGAAATGGAATTATACATGCAATATAAAAGCATTAAAGAAATGTGGCTTACCTTCAATGGGTACCTGAATTCTCTTTAAAAGCCATAATTGAATTTCTGATTTATCATCCATTTGTGTGCCTTGGCAGCTGTTGTCCATAGCTGATTCCAAAGAGGAGTCTAGGGACTCTTTACTCAAATTTTCTTCTGCAGAAGAGACAAGCTGCAGTGGAAGGGGCTCTCTCTCTTTTACCCAGGTTACACCTTGCTCTTTATTGCCCTCATTTGGGGAATCACCTGCCTGGGGAAGAGCACTACTAAGGGTGATATCTATTCCCACTGGTTCAAGGCATTTGCCATCACTTATTTCTGCCTTCTGCAAGTTGTCAGATAACTGTGACCCTTCTTTGTTCTTATTAAGGTAATATTCAATGAGTTTGACTTTATCTAGATCTTCCTGTATGTTCAGTGTGTTTTCAACCTGGCTTTCTGGGGAACTAGACTGCTTGTCCATCTCTGGCATTTTATCTTGCTTCTCACAGGCTTCTAAATCTAGGGCTCCCTTCAGTTCAGCATCACTCTCTGTTCCTGAAAAGTTCAGAGCTGACTGCACCTGCATTTCTGTATCAGAACTGATTATTTGGGACTTAGCTTTCCTTAGCATCTCTGGGTCAAGAGAAAGGTGCTCTTTAGAGGCATCTCTTTTATCCATTCTGCTATTGGTTTGAGAAGAAAGTTCTTCCAAGTCAACAAAGTCATCATCTTCCCCTAAAAGGGAGTTTTCTTTGGCTATAGAGTCCATTGCAGCATGAGAGTCAGAAAGTTGCTTGCTGGCCTTATTCACGATGGTAGATACACTGGTTGTCTCCACAGAGGTCTCCAGGTTCTTTAACTTTTCTGACAGAGGGCTGTCTGAGCACTTTGTAGGTGTGCCACATTCTGGTGATTTTTCCGAAGGTTTTGTCAACTTGGAATCTGAGATGATTGCTTTCTCCCCATTCTGCTGCCGTTTATCCTTGTTGAGAGATTTGAACTTACTGAATGGGTTGATATCCTTTTCAGAAGCCAGGTCTTCCCATTCTCCAGGCCTGTACAGAGGACAAAGATCCTGAGGTAGGTCACTGTTGGGGGAAAAATGGTGGGTGCACATGGAATGTTAAAAACAAAACAAAATGAGATGGAGGAAAGGCAAAAATAAAACAAAATCCAACCAAAAACTAAAACATAAATTATAATTTAAACATGTTTAAATGATTTTAGCATAAGGAAATGAAATCAAGAAATTGACTTTTAAATAAAACATAAATCAACTATAAGTGGCAAAACAAAGAACCATGAGAATCTTCTACTAGAAGAAATGAATGGTTTTTGAAGTCATTTATGAGAATGGAGATGTCACCAACCAGATTTTTAATGATGAAATCATGTTTCTGATTTTCATGAAGGACAAAGGAAATGTTTTAGTACTATAACTAAAAAATTCTTGAACTTTTCAAAGCTTTTCCTATTTATAAAACTCTATATAGACCAATTACATTTACTCTAAACTTCTCATTGACTTGGTAGCTACTCATTTAACTGTTCTATCAAGTGACTGATCCTAAACCCTAATTTTGAATTCCGTTTAACATCTGATTCTTCCAATAACCAACATTCTCTAACTCCTAAAACTGATGTAAGTAAGATCCACTATTGAGGGTACAGAGCATCTGTTCCACTTACACTTTAAACATTATGGAAAAGTAAATCAAATAAGTTCTTATACTACTCAGTTTAGACTTCTTAACTTTTTCATTTTTAACAATATCATTTTTACTTTATCATCTGAAACATACCGTTCTGGATATATTTTATTCCTTAATAACAGATCCTTTAATAGACAGATTAGAATTCACAAATATATTGGTTAAATATGGGCCCTAAAGTTAAAAGCAAATGGTCAAGAGGCACGCTTTGTAAATTATGCCTCAAAATACCACCAGCAACCCATATTTTCACTTACTTTAGTATCAATACTAAGTGTAAAAACAGATATAAAAACTTATTAAAAATAACATTTTCAAACTTTAGGAATAGTTTTATGTTCTAAAAAGGTTAGATTATACTCAGTTAATATTTTATTATTTTAGCTTTGAAACAAATAATGATAGCACTAAAGCAACAAAGTACCGCGAAGTTCTTAAGCTACAAGACCATCACCCAACATTATTCTATAAATCACTTACACGGCACATCCATGCTTTTCCTAATATAAAAGTCTACATAATTGTTAGTCTTTGACAAGAGTTTTAAAAGGCCTTAATTCATAATTCATTTCAATTCAATAAGCATTCAAAGAGCCCTAAGTGCCACATGCTACAAGATAATTGTGAGTATGTCTGCTGTGCAGGAACTTACATACACAAAACTGTTCTGCCCAACACTGGCATCCCAGGAGATGTTAAAGAGGCTTCAATCACAGAGTCAAATAAGTTAGTGTAATGTGACATAATTTACATTTTGGGATTCAAAATTTAATTTGGCATATTAAAGATTACAATAAGCCTGTAACAAAGAAACCCATTTCTTCACATATTTTGTTAATAAGCAGAACTGTCTTCCATTAATATCCACACCATTTCTCATCTCTTCTTTCTCTACCTACTTTGATCCCTTCAAAGAGTACAACTGACTGCACTCTTATCAGTCTTCTAAATTACCTTATCTACTACTCTCCTTTCTTGTTTGTCTATCTAATCAAGCTGGGATTAATTTAAACCATCTGCTTTTTCTGTACTGCAGGTAGCAAGTACTTCTAGCACAAAGTACACAGTGGTATTAACCGGTTCAGCCATTAATGTTTCCAAGACTCTGCAGGTACCTAAACGTGCTCAATTGTTCCCTTTCTAGCTTCTGTGTCAGTGACATTACAAAATGTCTTATACTAAAAAATGCAAAGTATGAAGTGGAAGATGGAGAAATTCTATACACACACACACGTACGTGCACACGCGTGTACACACACACACACACAATCAAAAAAAATCTATACATTTCAGCTTACCTCCTTTCCTCCTGTCACAGAGAATCCAATGTCATTGCTTCTTTCCAAAACTAATTCTTTCACAGTCTCTCTGCCCTCTCATCTAAGATTCCCAAGCAGTTGGCCACTCCCACAAATTGGCCTCTCACAGGGTGCATTTCTATGTTTACAGAGCATTTCATTACCAATTCTGTCCATCTGTCTGTCTACCTTGTAAACCACAGTTCCTCAAGGCCAATGGCCATGACCCACTCATCTTTACATCCTTATTATGCAAGAAGCATGAATCAACTTAATTTACAAGCCTCAGTTTTCTTGGATAAGTTTCCCAGAAGCCAATAAACAGTTTCATATACGAATTGCGGTTCAAATAATTACAGTCTACAAATCATTAGGCTCTAGGCTATTTCTACTATTTTAATAAGCAGATACCTCAGTGCTTTAGTCCTTATAACAGCTTAATGAGTGGTAGAATACTACCCATTCCATTTTTTTTACAGATGAGAAAACCAAGGTTTGATATTGAATAACTCATGAGAACACAGAGCCAGTAAGTGGAAGAGTGCAGCCAGTAAGTGAGCCAGGCAGCATGGCTCCAGACTCATCACGCAGGCCTGCCTGGCTGCCACTCTGCCTCACAAACCTCTCAACTGAACATTTGGTGGTAAATTTAGAAATTACCTAAATTACTATGTTCTGGAGGTAGCTTCAGTAGCTTGCAGTTGACCAGAGTGGATGAGACGCTAAGGGCTATAGGAGTCCCAGGAAACCTGTGCATATAAACCCTGAGGGACTCCCTGTGTGGTTTAGTTTTTTAGTCACTGTTGTTTTTTCTCATGTATCCCAAGGTTGGTTTCCCTTTGTACTGTTAAGTCCCACTGTTTTGCCTCTACCTTCCTATTAATTGAGGGTTTCTAAAGATTTGTTACTGCTAGCATACAGAGAGAAATAGACACATTGACAAAATTACAGAATCAGGTTACGAGCAAATCAATTTGCTGAATTATCTGAAAACTCTTTCTGTATGGGCAGCTTCCCTGTCTATCAAATAAATGAATGAATGAATGAATCACTCAGCTTTATAAGTCAAAAGTAATCAGGACTAAAATAACACTCATCTGTATTTAAGAGACAAAACACACCCAGATCAATTCCTCTCACACAACTGAGGGAAGCACAGATACAAGGTCAGTGATTAACACACTTTCAACTGTCTCCATGCACAATTCAGGAAGACTGCTTACCCTAGAGTTTGAATGAAAAAGAACCAAATTCTGCTTAACCATTAAACCAAAGAGAAAACACTATTCTCTTGATGGAAGTCATGCTAAAAACCTGTCTGAGAAACTTCACTTCTTTCACAAGTTCACTAAGAACACACATTACTCTTCATAAAAATAATCCAAACAAATTTTTATATGCTGGCTTTTTTTCATTTTTTTGGTAGGTTGAGCTTTTTCCCTATTATAAACTTTATTGTTTCCATTTTCTCTCATTTTTCTATTTTTTTAACATTTAGTACACGTATCTTCCACCTCCAATGTACCTACATGCTACTCACGGTTGCCTCACTGCTCAGGTGCATTTAATTCTCCCAATACCCCTTTTATTCTGGCAAACAGAGAAATGTCTCTTACGATGGCAAGGCATCTTTGATCTTCATGTGGGAAATGTCATTGTAGAGGGCAATGGAAACCACTTCCTCCATGGGGCAGATGAGCCCGTACTCCTCACACCCATTTTCAATGACCAGGGGATCGGACTTGTGAGGGTCGAACATGATGTTGTTAGGAGTGACAATCATGACGCCTCCGACCACACCCTGAGGAGAGAGGGACAGCCGGGTCACCACAGGAGGGAATGCACGCACCACAGCAGCTTAGTGGACACATGCTGTCATTCCTCTGACTTGGTAAACTGCAGTATCCCCTAGGACAACCACCTCCCCTGAAAGAGGGCTGGAAAAACAGTTGAGCAAATACCATGCTGGATGCTATGTGGTGAGGCAGAGAAGACAGACAGGACTCGCTGGGGGCAGCTACCAGGCCTGGTTTTAGCACAGCCTCTGAACAGTATACAGTTGTGATTGGATATTGTGTCACACAAGTTTGTCTCAGATGTTGCAGTTCACTGTCCATGCAATGCTAGGGGGTGTCCCAAGAGTTCTCCCAATTGAGAACTGGGTGATGTACAAGTAACTCAGTACACTCTCACCACATGTCCCACGAGCACAAGAGACCTTGCTAAGGGAACAGCTGTCACCAAGCCATCAAAATAGTCCTGTTTTTCTTTCAAATGTTTAGAAAATCTGCATCCAGAAAAATTTAGTGCAAACAGGAATAAGAAATTTTTGCAACCAGGAGGGATTGTAGTTGGATTGTGGAATTTAAAATCAAAAACACAGAAGCCAGGAAGAAAGTTATGTCTGAAGTGTGGTCAATTATATTGATGATGAGAGGGGTGTTATCTACCATAGACAGCATCATACAGATAGCTCTCTTTAAGTAAATAATTTGGCACGCTTAATGAGTTTAGAGGTGACTGTGCAGAGCTTTACATTTAATGCATTACTATTGGCTGCAAGTTATACATGCATATCAATAATCTATTGCTATTTGGAACCTGGGATAAAGTCTCTATCAGAACAGGAATTCACTTTATATCAACATACACCCTTCTTCAGAGATCACTAAAAGTTGGATTTGTTCTTTGGGAAAAAACACCAACAACCAAAAAAACTAAAAACATCTCATAATAGATATCTGTAATGCCATCATTTCTACCAGCAAACAGGTTAAGAACATCACAGTTTCTGAATTTGGTGCTCAACTCTTTATATGAATTGCCTACTTTAATCACCATGCCCTATTAGCTAACTATTACTGTTCCTATCTTATAGATGAGGAAAATGGAAGTGTAGAAAGTGTAAATATTTTGCCCACAAATAAGAGTTAGTGGATAACAGAGTTGGAACTTAAATTCAGCAAGTCTAACTCCAACATTTGCTGTTAAACACTATACTATACTGTACCCCCAAAACTGATAGGCCAAGAACTAAAAGATAAAATTGATAAATCCAGAGTCACAGAAAATATTTCCACTTGATGGCACTTCCCTTCATTACTGAAGGAAATGCAAGATGCCAGGCATCCAAGAGAAGAAAATTAATGGAAACTTGTCAAATCTTAAGTTGTTAAGATAGTTTAATGTAACCTGCTTTCAGTATTTTGGAGCTTACTCTAGTTACCCCAAAATTCCAAAAACAGAAAACAAATGACTTGGCCATATACCTTTCCATCAGTGAAGTAGCGACAATTCATTTTTAAGAATTTTACCACGCCTGGCTCATCTTCTTCAGAAGTAGATGATAAGACTCTTTCAATGGGTTTTAAGGCCTTTCTTGCTAAATCAGCATCCTTTAAAAAGCAAATATTTTTAAAATCAAATAGAAGCACTTTTTCAAATCCGATTATTCCTACATCAGGCATAAATTTTCTGTTAAATAACTTATTTCTTGAACATAGAGGCAAATGTCCATTATTCTTCAAAAACAACACAAACATAACAATAAGTATCAAAATAAAATTCAGGTAAAAAAACAAATGCCTATATATAGATCTATAAAAATGGCTCAACAAATGTCTTTGGAAAACAAGTATTAGAATTCATATTTGACTCATACTTCAAATTCTCTAGAAAAAAGGAGTAATATAATAACTACCAATCTTATTGGGAATTTAATTTCATGTTTTTCCAAGTCATGCATTTTTGCCTTTAAGACTTTTTTTTTTAAATAATTGAGATAACATAGGTTTACCATACTGTATATGTTTTGGAAATACAGTTTGACACCTCTTCAGATGTATGTTGCCTTTAAGTCTTTAAATATGAACATATTTCTTTTGGATGCATACTATAATTATTAACAAATTACTTAACTTCAGCTCTTCAGGGGAAATTTCAGGTGAAATATTGTGAAAAATAAGATGTAATGTTCTACAACTCATAAAACCTTTTTGATAAATACAAACTTAGTGCATGGGTGACATACATACAGGCAGTTTATCATATTCTGCATCTGATGATGAAGGAGAGACAGTAGCACCAGGACTGGAAGATGATAACCTTAAGGTACTGGAAGGAAAATTGGCATCTGGAACAAAAAGGACCTGAGGATGGGAAAGAAAAGCTGAGTGAATAATCCCTAAAATAATACCAAGAAATATGAATGTGTGCAGTGGGGGGGAGGGGTATGGGTACAGGGAGGGGGTTAAAGTGTTCCTTCCAACTTGATGTGGCAATTCTGGATGGGCTCCAAAACAAAGGTAAAAGGATATTTGAGGATGTTCTTTATCATAAAACAAAACTCTCGTTATTTAAGCCTAGAGTATTTTTCTAAGCATGCGTAGCCAAGGTGCCCATGCATATATAAATACCTCAAACTATATATCTACATGGAAACTTCTGAATGTGCTTAAGATAAACTTGAAAAAGGACATTTTTATACAAATTTTATGTAAGTATTAGAACTACTAGCCAAATCAGGACCTTCTGGAAAGAAGTCTCATGTCTTGAGTTTTTCATTGTCTGTCTGATTTTTTTAGGTCTTCTGAAACAACAAACAAAGCTTGGAGTAAGATTTGAGTTCAATAAGCTTCCAGGTAACCTCTGAAACATCACCTCCCACAGGTGGCCACTCACCCAAACAGACCAGTTTTCTTTCCTATCTCAAGGTAATCACCAAATCAGTGTCTACAAAGGTGAGTCTCAAATTTTTTGGAACCAGAGCAGATAAAACCAGTTTTGATTTATCATAACAGGGGGATACCTACCCCTCCTAGGAATTAGGACAAGTATTTAAAAACCATGGAAACCAAAAGGCAATCTATAGGTCTTTCATTGTCACTGTTCTTGATTCCTTACTTTTACTAGCAACATCACAAGTGAGTCAGGTCCTAAGACAACTGACAGCACATAATATTTTAGTTATATGAGGGTTGGACAGCAGAGCAAGGGCTAGAGGGACATCTGAGATAAGGTGGCCCAACCATTAATTTCAGATATTAGGAAACTGACGTCTAAAAAAGAAAGTGAGTTGCTCATGTCAAATAGCTACTACAAGGCTGAATGGACACAAAGCTTCAAGACTCATATTTCTGGTATTTTTACCATTATAGCGGGCATATTAAAACAGTCCTTATACTTCCCTAGTTAACGGATCTTAGTCCAATACCAATGCTTTGTTTATTGATATAGTAAAATATTAATAAATCAGGCATCACCCTAAATTATTCTACTAAGTTCCACTGACTGTAGTCTTCAGCACTGAGTTAGTAAATCTATGCCTTGCTTTTCTGCTTTGGGTCAATTACACATCATGCAATAATGTCCCAGATTATAAGAAATCCAAACTATCAATTTTTGAAGAGACAAAATTTATTAATTTATGAAGAGTTTTAATGCCTGTTTCACCTCAGGTACCTGATAACGGTTGTATACTAGTTTGTCCTGTTGACAAGAACTTAAATACTAAAAGCCCAAGGACACAAAAACTGGACAACTTATGGATTGTCAGCTTCATGTGTTGCCCATGAAAGAAAGGCCCCCTGAGCTCATCACCATTACTGGGATGATGTTATACTTAAAAGTAGCAGTATCTGTCCCCAAATAATTAAATGCCATTACCATATACAGATGCTCTAGTAAGTCAAAAAGGGAACCAAAATGTGTTCAGGGCAACCAAGCACTGTGGGTGAACTGGAAACCTGGACTCAGCCTCAATCTACCAGTGACTGGGCCATTTCCCTTTGGTGGCAAAATGTAGTTTTAAAGTATAAATATAAGAACATCTTACCATGAAAAATTATTTTGCTAGATTAATTATATTTTATATAGAAAAGTAAAATATCTGCTAGGGTGGCGAAAGTCACACCATTTGTCAGTTTAAGTCCATTTAACAAAGTTCTAAAAAAGTTCTAAATTTGTGACTTTTCTTGATGATCCTTAAGGTCTATGACTAGTTGACTGCTTTTTTGATGCTGTCTGATCAAGATAAAATAACAAAATTTCTACCTCATTTAAAATAAAATGATGGGCATAATATACCTGAGGGGGCGGACTAAACTGAAACTTAAAATTAAAAATCAAACATTCTAAGTGTTGCGCTTGGTTGTCCTTCCTCCGCTAGACTTCCCCCTCTGTGGGTAATGTCAGCCTGAACAACATTCAGCAATCACTGTCTCTAAAGAGAACAGTCACCACATGTGGCAGGGATTTTGTGCTATTTAGTTCAGAGCCTCCACTCCCCCAGGCAGACTACAGATGGTGACGGGTGGAGTCTCTCATTTGTACATATTTGGGTATGTCACAAATTTATTAGGTCAAGAATGCCAGATAAAGGATTCAGCCTTCACCTGCAGATCATAAAAAATATTGTGGGGATCCACAGCACCCTAATAAACTGCATATTGTTACCAGAATAACAAGTACAGAAAGATATTCATATTGGGGAAAAGATAGAATAAAGATGCTCAGGCTAGAGCAAATACATACTCCTGAAGTTCATGAATATCCCCCCAGTGTATGTAAAACTGAAAGCAGTTAAACATCTGATAAGAATCAAGGCCCTGAAATCGCCACCAGGGCTCCCGGCAGAGGAGCACCTGGTAACACATGCCTGGAGAGCGCAAGGAATTAGCGCCAGGTACCCTAAACCCTCTGGACCACAAAGCAACTAGGCCCAATGCCAGAGCAGTTTCAGATTAAAATATGCAAATCCTTTCTATTTAAAGATGGTGAGAAAGTGTTTTCATTAAAAAAGATTCGAGGCAGGGGCCTCCCTGGTGGCACAAGAGGCTAAGCATCAGCACTATGAAACTATCCACAGCCACTGCAGCATGAGTTTGATCCCAGCCAGGGACGTCAGACACACGGAGCAGCAGACATCTCCGGTCTCGCCCGCTGCTCCCCTCAGCAGTGTATTTCAGTGGATCCACCTGTTCTGCTCTCCACTGTCTCTGGTGAATCCTCTCACCACCCCCTGCACCTCTGGCCTGTACCCCAGCTCTGGTATGCATAAATAAATCTTCAAAAAAAAAAAAAACAGTTTCGAGGCAGCTCTCCTGCAGGCCTATAGCCACAGGTGTTTCACAAGCCTTTTCCCTTCACAAAGCAGCTGCCCTCCTGTGACCATGCAGGTGCCTCTCTTTATTCTTTTCTCCTTTTCCTAATAAATCTGTCCTATTAAAATACATTTTTAAAAGCTTTTAAATAGTAAAAGAACAATTAAATATTCTAAGAGTAGCTGTGTGACATGTTACAGGGTAACAATCTCATGAATTTAACTTCGATGTCAAGGAAACTTTCATAGCAAAATCTAATGGCAGTTAAGAAGACTGTACTCATCATTTACAAAGCATTTCTTTCTGAACAGCTCATAAGCACTAGGATGATTTTAGAATTACTGGATCTGAAAGAAGGAAAAGATTGAATCAATGCAATTATTACTGATAATAATTCTGTCACACTAACAGTAAGGCATTAAAAATAAAGGACAAATGTAAAATTTCTGAAGTAACATACAGTAAGAAATGAATTACCTGGCCTGGAACAATGGTATGCGTGAAAAGTTTATTCAGTTCCACTAATTTATTAGGAGTGATGTTAAACTTCAGTGCAATGGAGTTAAGGGTGTCCTGGCTTCCAGCCTAGAATAATCCAACAAAGAGATGTTCAATATATAAGCAAGCAAAACAAAACTTCCTTTTGATAGACTAATAATCTATTTGTAATATGAGTGAATGAAGGAGAAATAACTCCATCGAGAGTGAATACATTCTCAATTCTCAATAAAACCACATAAAAGCAAAGATTTTGCCAGTTCCCCTTATCTTCCAATTTTACTCCCTACTATTTCTAAACTTTCTTTGGTACAACTTAGCTGAGTAGAGGTCCGTGTATTAGAACATAAAACCATAATGAAAACAAAAACAAAAAAACTTAGTACCACCCAGGGGGGAAATGGAGCTACTTTTTCTCCTTAAAACTTTCTATCTGGCTGTTTCTTGTTGCTCTATTGGCTCCTGGAGGGTGGCCCATTAATGGTTATTTTCTACAGTCTCAGCACAGAGCCTGATTCAAGAATGGCACTAAAAATGTGATGTTTGAATCCAATGAAAGGCAAGGAAATCTGAAAAAAATTCAGATTAGCTATTAATAATTCTCACTGTCATTAAAACAGCAATTTCCATAGTCAACAAATTACTTTTTAAATATATAAAATTTGCGATATATATCCCTCGAAGACACTTTCTTTCCTTATGTAAAAGAGAATAGGAATAAAGAGGCAGTGAGACAGTGAGACTCCAGGGTAAAGAGCTTCACACACACAAACCCCCTGCTGCCGACAGTCAGTCCAGACCCCAAGATGGGCTTGATGTCAGCATCACGCTTTGTAACTTTTCAATGGCAGGTCACTCTGGAGAATGTGATTGTGAATTCCCATCAATAGCCCTGGTCAAGACCAGAGGCTGTCCCTGTAAGCAGAACTGAATCCCCAAAGTGGAACTTTAAATTAGATGGAGATTTGTGTCAGCTACAAGAGAATGTAGAATGGAGGAGATAGATTTATAGAAGTTAGCTCACCACTTGCCCTTAGTATAAAAAAACCCATCAACTAGATAAATTGTTTTAGGCTAATGAGTTTATAGTTATAGGTTACACTAAAATAGCCTCAAAGCCTTTCCAGAACAAGTTAGGATATAAATACTTGTCTTTATTTTTAAATCATCAAAAGCTTATGACCCCACCTCTACCCTGAATAAAACTATATCTACTTGTAAGGGGCAGGAAGGGACACAGTGCAGGTTTTCTATGATCCCATGCAGAACAGGGTAAAGAAAGAGTCCTGGAGAGTCCTCCGTGGCTTTTGCAGGCTTTTATGGGATTTACCAGGTACACGGCAGGCAGGGGTGCCGGGGGCCGGAAGGCTGGCAGTCCTCCCAGGCCCAGCAAGTCTTCACTCTATCTGGGCTCTCTGGCATTCTCTGGTGGTCTCTGCTCTCTGCTCTTCCCTTCGTTCTCTTCTCTCTCAGCTTCTGCTGGCGTCCCCGCGACGCTGCCCCTAAAAGCCCAGTCTCAGCCCAGGTGAATCCCATCTACCTATGCCCACACCCTACTCCAGGTGCCCACCATCAGGCATGCATTCAGGACCTCAGGGTTCCGTCATCTATCCTAATGGTGGGAGGGCAGAAAAGCCTGATACTTTTTACCTTACCCTGCACTACTAAAAACCATAAGTTTCAAAGTTTATAAATACATTTTCCAATATTAGATATTTACATTACACATTCAAATCCATTCAGTACAAAACATAGCTTAAGAATACAGACTACAGCCAGAACGTTGGTTTTGAATTCTAGCTCTGCCATTTGTTAGCTGTGTGACCTTGTGCCATTTGCTTACCTTCTCTGTGTCTCAGTTTCTTCATCCACTGAATAGAGATAATTATAACTTGTGCTTCAGAGCATTTACTTCAAAGCAAGTGATCAATAAATTTGCTTCATATGTTTATTTCAAAAAAACTTATAGAAGACACTATATATAAGGGACTCAGAGAAGGACAACTTGAACAATCTGGAACTTTCACTCCAGCAGACAGACATACAGAACCAAGCCACCGACCCTGAGGGCGAGGCTGTTATCATTACATCTTTGGAAGTAAACCAGAATGAACAACCACAGGCCAAGAGTGAAAAGAAGACCAGTAGGCAATAGCATGGTTCCCTAAATATGAACTATGAATCCCTTTTTATCTCTAATAACAAGTACACAAAAAAGTCAACGAAAATTAAACTCCATAAAATATAAACCAAACAGGTGAATATAGACGCATTGCTATATTCATTTGATCATCTGTTACATATTAATCTAAGAGGTGATTTTCACTTTCACTGCATATGTGATTTTCACTTTCACTGCATATCCCCTAGCAAACACTTTTCATTTCCTTGGAAGGGCTTGGATGCATACAGGGCTTTAGAATTAATTACTAGTGATAAATAACTTTAATCCCATACTTCTTGAGTGCCTGCTATGAGGTAAGGCACTGAGCCAGCTGTTATGGCAATCAGCAACACATTGAACATATTGTAGGTTGTGGTAATATGAGATATACAATCACTCCAAGTCCTTTCTGTAAACAACTTGGCTTATAAGCTACAGAAAGATGCCTAGAGGTGTTCACAGAGCACTCAGCATGAAATGTCAGACCTTTTCACTGTGATTCTACAGCCATGGAGATATTTAACATTCCCAAAGCAGTAACATGGAGGGATCAGGTCTTACTGTTTGCCTTATAAGGAGCCCGGCATGGCATGCAAATTAAGAGTAAAAAATACACATTAGGATAACAGAAAATGACAACAGCACTTCATTTCTTCTTAGAAGTCAGAACGCTCCTCAACAATGCCATTTCAGAAATGGCTGAGTATTCACATTGCACCAAGATAAATAAGATTCAGCCCCTGGCCGCCAGAAGTTCATGGTGCAGTGAGAGATCAGCACTGTAGGGTAAATGAGTTAATTAGGCTTTTTATGCCACTAGCCTCTGTGGCTATCACCTGCAGCCTTGATCATGTTCATGCAGAAGGCACTTGGGAGAGTAGGTACGAGGCACACATGCCTGATTGTGGACACCTGGCGCATGGGTGTGGCCATGTGTAAGTGTGCACACCTGAGCCTAGAGGCCAGCGATGTAAAGACAGTGTCATTCTAGTCACTCTCCATGGATATATGGGTTAAAACACAAGATAGATGTTAAAATAATCAATCCCATCAATGAGTCAAAATGGTAAACTGAGAAATTACATAAAGAAATATGATTCTATAAGAAAGTAAAATGAAGGAATCACACCTGGTCCTGCTGGGTGATCACAGAAAGTGCAATGAATATGGAGTGTAATGTCAATATAAGGGTTTGGCTTATATAAATGAATGTCTGAAGGAGCTATTGCTTCTTGAAAAAAGGGTCAAGTGTGGAGGTGGATGTTAAAGAAGCAACTGAATATAAGGTCATTGGAACTCCAAAAGGATATATGGATGGAGATCTGTAGCGTAAAGAAAATATCAGGCTTTTCTGCCCTTCCGCCATCAGGATAGATGATGGATCCTTGTCCTGAATGCATGCCTGATGGCGGGCACCTGGAATAGGGTGTGGGCATAGGTAGATGGGATTCAGCTGAGCTAAGACTGTGCTTTTTAAGGGCGGCGTCACGGGGGGACGCAAGCAGCACCAGTAGCAGCAGCAGCAGAAGCCGAAGCCGAAGCCGAAAGAGAAGCCGAGAAGCAGCAGAACGAACGCTAGAGAGCCCAGATAGAGTGAAGACTTGCTGGGGGCTGGGAGGCCTGCCAGCCTTCCAGCCCCCCAGCCAGCACCCCTGCCTGCCATATGCCTGGTGAACCCCAAATAAAAAACCTGCAAAACTACTGAGGACTCTGACTCCTCCTTTACCCGGTCTGCATGGGATCAGAGGACCTGCACTGTGGCCAGTCCTGCCCTCTACAAGATCTAAAATCAGTATTCACTGGCATATCAAAGGTAACTGATATCCTGGATTTATATGAAATTGCCCAGGGAGAAAATTCAGAGGGAAAAGAAATGACCTTAAGAAGCTTTATTATTTAATGGTTACAAAGAAAGAAGCTAAGGGACAGAATGAGTTAGGAAAAAACAGTAAGTAAATCTTGTAGTATTAACACACACTCTACTATCCTGTTTATACTTACAGTGTATTCCATGGTACCATGGGGCTTTTGAACCAGCATCTTCTTCTCTTTTTTATCATGTGTTTTGTTTTGATTGTCATCTGAAGAATAAATTGTAAACAAATAATTTCATTTTTAATAATTGAGGACAAGGTAATCTATAGTATATTAAAACACACTTTCAAATGACCAAAAAAAGAGACACTTTTAGAAAAATGGACTAAAGGCATAAATTGCCCATTCTCATAAAAAAGCTATCAATAAATACTTGAATAAATAATATTGACTGTAATCAAATAAACAAATAACAATGGGGTAATGTTTTATAGTTATTAAAGTAGTATAAATGATATTATATAATATTAGAGTACAGTCAATATAAATGATGCACAATATATATTAGTAAACCTTTTTATAAAGTCATTTGTCAACATATAATTATAAAAATGTTCAAGAGAAGTTCAGTCTGTGATTTAATAATCCTTTCAGGAATTTATCTTAAAGAAAAATTTAAAAGAAAAATGCTGTATGTAACATTATTTGGTTACTGCAGGATTATTTATATATGATTGACAGTATTAAGTTGAGCCACAGATTTTATTGTTTTTATAGGTCAAAAACAGCCAACCATTGACAGATGAATGCTATTCAACCTAACTGTTATGGTTAAATACATCTATCAGTCAAAATTTTAAAATCAAAGAGACAATTTTGCAATGGTTAAAAATTTAAATGACAAAAAGAATATAAAATTGAATTCATTATGAAAAGATCCTCTATTTTGCATGTAATAAGAAAAATGCAAACTAAAACAAAGGATTATTTTATACCTATTAACATAATAAATCAGAAGGCTGGATAATTCTAGTGTTGGCAGAGATGTGAACTGCTACTAGGAATGTGAACTGGTACAGTCATTCCAGAAAATTAAGTAAGCAGTGACAAGACTCTACACTTAACTCACAGATATACTTCATAAAGTGACCTGCTTGAGGATGTACAGTACTATGCCATCTGTGGCAGTCAGGAGTTAAAGGGTAAACAAAATGTGGTGGGTATGCTCTTGGATTCCAGGCAGCAATTAGAAATAACAAGCTGTAAGTACACACACAGCAACATGCTGACAATTAAGAGAAGCAGAATCTCATGAAGAGAATTACATCATTATGTAAATATAGACTAGATGCACAAGGTAGGATTAATGCACCTCCATGTTCATTGCAGCATTATTTGTAAATAACAGCCAAGTCATGGAAACAACCTAAGTGTCCATCAAAGGATTGATAAAGAAAATTTGATTTTATACATACACACACCAGAACACTATTCAGTCATTAAAAGAATGAAATATTGCCATTTGCAACAACATGGATGCAACTTGGGGACATTATTGTAAGTGAAATAAGTCAGACAAAGGAATACTGAATGATTTCACTTAGATGTGGAATCTAAAAAATAAAACAAAAAAACAAGTTCATACAAACAGTACAAATTAATGATTTGTTGTCAGAAGTTGGGGATGAGGGATGTGCAAGATGGGTTAAGGAGATCAAAAGGTACAAACTTCGTTATAAAATAGGTCATAGGGATTTAATGTACAATATATTGACTATAATAATACTGTAATTCTTATATGCAACTTGATAGGATATTAGATCTTAGAAATCCTCATCATAAAAAAAAAAACTATGTAACAGATGTTTACTTATTGTAGTGATCATCTCACAATACATACAAATATCAAGTCACTGATATACACCTGTGTAGGGGTTAATGATGTTATCAGGATTCCCCCTACTCTCCCCACCAGCCCTCCTGCCATTAGAATCTGACCAGCACCTGTGGTCTAGCATGAGCGCCTCTAATTACGGTCCCAGAGAGAATGGGGCATGCATATATGTAAACGGGGACACCTGTGCCCAGGGGCTATAAGGGCAGCACTGACTCTGAGGCAGGACTACAAAGGAGAGGAAACCACCAGAGAAATACTGAGAGAGAAAGCTGGTCTGTCTCCTGATTACACATTAAAGGCCTGTAAAAATCTACCAAAGACTCCAAAATTATCTTTTATCTGTGAGAACTGAAGATGAACCTACCCTGGGACAGTTGCAAAACAATGGAAATTATGTCAATTATATATACCTTAAATAAAAAGTAGATGCCTACAAAAATACACACATTTTTCATGGCCTGTAGGGTAAGGTAAAAAGTATCAGGCTTTTCTGCCCTCCCGCCATCAGGATAGATGAGGGAACCCTGTGATCCTGAATGCATGCCTGATGGCGGGCACCTGAAGTGGGTACACCTGGGCTGAGAGACTGGCCTTTTAAGGGCGGCGTCACGGGGACGCCAGCAGCAGCAGTAGTGATCAACAGGGCTGGGGCAGTTGTAGCAGGAACAACCCCGTATGTCATGTGCAAAGTTCCAGCTCTCCAGGCCAGAAATGCCCAGCCACACAGCACCCCCACTTGGCTGGCAACTGCAGGGGATACGTGGACTTGGCACAGGGACGAGGCTAGGCCAGAGGCAGGTGACGCGGCCACCCAGCCCGCCAGGCCACCCCATCACCCAGTGGCAGCAGAAGCCGAAAGAGAAGCCAAGAGAGAAGCAAGAGAAGCAGAAGCCGAGAGAAGGCCGGAGAGCCCAGATAGAGTGAAGACTTGCTGGGGGCTGGGAGGACTGCCAGCCTCGTGCCCCCCAGCACCCTTGCCTGCTGTGTACCGGGTAAATCCCAATAAAAGACCTGCAAAAACCCACTAAGGACTCTGACTCCTCCTTTACCCGGTCTGCATGGGATCAGAAAACCTGCACTGTGTCCTTTCCTGACCTTACATGGACACATAAAAATAAAAACTTATATACAATGAACACAATAGAACAGTGTGGAGTAGAGAGAGAAATGGGACTAGGAAGTGAGGATGACAGGCAACCAAAGAAAAAATAATGGAGTCCATCTCTAAGCAGTGAAGACATGTCATAGCCAAGAATTGCTTCACTCAGCCTTCTACCTCTGAGGTCCTACAAGCACCTTCCACCTCCTTCGAAGGTCAACAGTATCATTTCATTACACCGTAACTATGGGTGTACTGGATAAAAACTGTAAAGTAACCCAGAAATATGAAAATAGTTAACTGACCTGGGAAGTTAAAAGGCAAGAAAAAATAGATGCTGTCATTAGAATTCTTTTCTAGTCATTACATGTTCAAATCAGGTCCATTCATTGAACCAGAGACACTGATGATCCTTCTAGACAACAAAAAATGGCCTTTTTTCCATCAGGTGGCCATAAGCAAATTACTTCAAGACAAGACCAAGGACTTTTCAGATGTCCAGAGTTACACAACCTATTCAAAAACCCAAATTTTATTATTTTATGTTTTATGATCTAAATTCACTCCTTTTAATATCTCAGCTCCATTTTCTGTCCAACACGCCAGACCTTTTGATCTTCTTGCTTTCAAAATAGTTTCTTCGCATACTTTTATAGGTGCTTCCTATTTCTAGAACCTACAATATGCTTTCTTCTCATCTGTGGCAGCATCTGGTCCACACTATTTCATAAACTGTACATAGTTATTTCTAGTCGCAGTGGGAATGCTATTAGAAGCCCCCAAATCATGAGTTTCCCTATTGCTCAGCTGCAAAAGACATACACGTGTTGGATTTTTCAGGATGAATTATATGCATGTGAATGGGTACAAATCTTCCATTGGAACAAGGTAAACATATTGCTGAAAAAAAAAGTCAAACATATTGCTAAAGAAAAAATAGAAAACTTTCCCTCCAAAATCTAAGATTTTGAAATTCTTAAGGTAAAGACCCTGCTATATCATCATTGTGCCCACAATATGATACTCAGTAGATGTGCTTGAATGGACTTCTCAGTAGAGATCTGTAGGGTAAGGAAAAATGTCAGGCTTTTCTGCCCTCCCGCCATCAGGATAGATGATGGATCCTTGCGGTCCTGAATGCATGCCTGATGGCGGGCACCTGGAGTAGGGTGTGGGCAGAGGTAGAAGGGATTCACCTGGGCTGAGACTAGGCTTTTAAGGGCGGCGTCATGGGGATGCCAGTAGTAGCCGAAAGAGAAGCCTAGAGAGAAGTAGCAGAAGCCGAGAGAGAAGCAGAGAAGGCCGGAGAGCCCAGATAGAGTGAAGACTTGAAAAGTGAAGGCCTCCCGGCCCCCCAGCACCCCTGCCTGCTGTGTACCTGGTAACCCCAATAAAAGACCTGCAAAAAACCACTGAGGACTCTGACTCCTCCTTTACCCGGTCTGCTTGGGATCAGAAAACCTGCTCTGTGTCCTTCCAGTCCCTTCCTGGCCCTACAAGATCAATGAGCCCAATAGAGATCAATGAGTTTGTTGGCAACATCTTCACTGACAAAGCCTGACCCTGGGAAAACCACATAGCTAGCAAAGCCACAAACAGAACACAACGTCTGACAGGTGACTCAATATAGAAAGCAGACACACAACTGGAACATCTTATGGACCTAATTTAATAATCTTCATATCATTATAGCACAAATTAAGGTTTCATACTGCTTCCTCAGTATTTTTTGCAGTGAGTTTTAAAGATGGCCGAATATATGTCTCAATAAGTAAAATCTACAACACCTCACCTAGATATCTGTGCAGCAGAGAGTCCACAAAGCCCAGGAGAGATTTCTGGCGCTGGAGAAAGCTGAGAAGAGAGCCCATCTGCCTTGGCAAAGGGCTGATCTGCGGCGCTTCAAGCTGGAGTATCCCCTCCAGTGTTCCAGGCGAGGGCCCATGCTGTTCCCAAGGATTGAACTCTCTCCCACTGATACCGGTACCTCCTTTTCCAACTTGAGACCTCCTCAGACCTTTTATACTATCCCAAATTCTGACCCTTCTCCTGCTTACGGACTCTTGAGGAAAATGCTGGGAAGGATCTACTGCCAGAGGGGACAGTGGTCAGGTGTTCCTCAGAAGTCATTCAGGAGAAATCAACTCAATCTATAACCTGCCCCACCTCTGAAAAGAGTTCTCCAAAGCTGGTTTTTCCTCAGTCCAATAAGGAAGTAGCTAATAAAAATAGACAAAAACCCTGGAGGAATGAAATGTAGACCTTTTAAC